CAACCCACATCATCCATTCAAGGGTAGCTGATCAGATTCTGCCAAGAGTTAAAGTGGTTAACAACACATATCAGGAATTTCCTGGAAGGACTCCGCTTGGTCTTCCAACAGATGTCGGGTGACTTAAAAGGCCCCCGTCGTTCTTCTTCAGAGCTGTCCTGGTACTCCTTGACTTACGACCACAATTGGGAACAGAATTTCTGTTGCTAAGCACATTGTTAAGTTAGTTGCACTCGATTTTATGACCTTTTTTGCCATGGTTGTTAAGCGAATCACTAGTTGATAAATGAATCATGTGGTTGTTAAGGGAATCTGGCTTTCCTCCATTGACTTTGCTTGACAGAAGCTGGCTGGGAAGGTCCCAAGTGATGATCACATGACCCCCGGACTGTTGCGACTATTGCAAATATATGCTAATTGCCAAGTGCCCGAATTTTAATCACGTGACCATGGGGATGCTGTGAAGTTTGTTAAGTCCGAGGACAGGGGTTAGGTCACTTTTTTTCAGTGCTGTTGTAACTTTGAATGGTCACTAAACGAATGGTTACAAGTCAAGGATTACCTGTAATTCGGTTTTGGAAGGCAACACCTTCCCTTTTTCCTTGATTGGGCAGCTAGCAATTTTCTACCAATAACTACAGGTAGTCCTCGACTTATGACCACAATCGAGCCCCAAATTTATGTTGCTGAGTGAGATATTTGTTAAGCAAGGTTTGCCCTATTTTATGACTTTTCTTGCCACGGTTGTTAAGTGAATCGTTGCAGTTGTTAAGTTAGTTGCCCGCTTGTTAAGTGAACCTGACTTTTCCACTGATGTCGCTCATCAGAAGGTCGCTAAAGGGGATCATCTGACCCCAGGGCGCTGCAACTGTCATAAATATGAGTCAGTTGCCAAATGTCTGAATTTTTGCAGTGGTCATAAGTGTGAAAAACAGACCCGGAAAACAACAGACCAATCAGCCTAACATCAATACCTGGGAAGGTACTGGAAAAAAATAATGTAAAAAAAAAACCAGATCTGTGAACACCTAAAAACAAATAAAGTTATAACAAGTAGCCAGCACGGGTTTGTTAAAAACAGATCATTGCCAAACCAATCTTATTTCATTCTTTGACAAAGTGACTAAATTAGTAGAGCAGTGAAGTGCTGTGGACATAATAGACTTAGACTTCAGCAAGGCATTCGACAAAGTAGACCACAACCTACCTCTTGGTAAACTAGAAAAATGTGGAACTGTTCTGCAGGATTGGGATCAGTGGTGGGTTCCTGCTGGTTCGGCCTGGTTCTGCCGAGCCGGTAGCGATGACGATATGACATCACCAAACTGGTTCTCTTTGTTCAGGAGCTGAGCCCTCCCCCCCGGGTGTTATTCTTACCTTTTATTTGGCCCCGCCCCCAATCTATTCACTGCCTCCGGAGTCCCAGCTGACCGGCTAGAAGAAAAAACACTGTTTAAACTCTTGCCGCGGGGCTTCAAAGGGCCGCCCTACAGCTGATCAGTGTTAAAAGGCAGTGTGGTGGTAGACCGGTGCCTCCAAAAACAAATGAGTAGACCGGTGCCTCCAAAAACAAATGGGAAGACTGGTACAGCTCTGCAAGCAGTTAAAAGCCTGGTAGAGGATTTACCTCTGCTAAATCCTAAAGAATTGTCACATGACCATCAAGCCACGCCCACAAAATAAGCCACACCCACAGAACCGGTAGTAAAAAATTATAGAACCCACCCCTGACTGGGATGCCACTTACAACCATGCAGTGGTGAAATCTGAACCGCTTTGCTACTGGTTCGCTGGCTGTGCATACGTGCTGTGCGTGCGTATGCGCAGTGCACGCCAAATGCACGCTGCACACGCATGCACACTACGCACCAAAAGGAGGCTTGGGTAAGTAGAACAGCGAGGAGGGGGATCAGCTGCGCCGCGCGATTTAGCTTCGGTAGAAAGCAGGATTTCCTGCTTTCTAGCAAAGCTAAACCGCGCGGCGCAGCTGATCGTCGGAAATACCAGTTCGGAGGAACCGCTAGCTTTTTTTTTTTTTTCCAGTGCCGTCGTAACTTTGAACGGTCACTAAACAAACCGTTGTAAATTGAGGCCTGCCTGTACTGCCGCTGTTTGTCCTTCCCTTTGTTTTAATCTCGATGCCCTTTGCACGGCCTTCAAAATGGTGGATCGGGATGTTTTGATCTCGATACGCTGCACAGCGTCATGCCTTCCAGTTGCTTATGTTTCTTGCAATGAAATACAGCTTTCATTTGCTCTGTTCTAGTCACGAGATCCATCCTTCCCCCACCCCACCCCACCCCCCGCCTCCCCCCCAACCCTCAATTATGTCAATGAAATCATATTTGCTTTCCTGGATGAAAAGTAGACGCTCAACTTATTTATTTTCTATACCCTGAGTCTCCGTAGTTTAGACAAGGAAGAGCATGAACTTGGTGAGCTGGTGTGTGTGTCCTGATCCTTTATGGAGCGAGGTTTAATAGCTTCTGCTAAAGCAACATTCCACAAACTTTGGCACATCATAACTGCAGGGTTCCTGTCACCACGCTAGAATAATGTTTTTGTTTTTCTTTGATCCCTTTATAGGCTTTCAGAGGAGAGGCTGAGTACACAGTTGACTTAGAGGAAAAAGCGCTTAGGCTCTCCTCTCTGACAAACTCGTATTATCTTTCCTTGGAAAGCGGGTGACTTAATACACTTTTTCCGACAGTAAATAATCTCTCGGTCGCCCCGAAAGGGCAATCAGAAGCTGCTGAGAGGCGACTCTTGCGGTCAGGAACTGTTTTGGAGGACTGGGATACCGCTTCGAACAGGGCTAGATGTAGGAGAAGGAGAGGCAGAGCCTGGGGGTGGAGGCAAGAGAGGACTCAGCCTAGAATCGTTACGTCCCCACAAGCGGTCTAAATCCAATCCTCCTTGAATTCTGTTAACTTTTATCTAGGGCCAATTTAGTGATGACCGTTAGTAGATTCTTGTGTATAGCCAGGAGCAATAAATCAGTTTCACTGGAATTTAAGGTGTGGGCCTGATTCTTTGTGCCTGACATTACAATCTCTTTGAACAGATAGCACTTTCCTTCCCCTCCTTCCTTCCTTCCTTCCTTCCTTCCTTCCTTCCTTCCTTCCTTCCTTCCTTCCTTCCTTCCTCTTCCTTCCTTCCTTCCTCCCTCCCTCCTTCCCTCCCTCCCTCCCTCCCTCCCTTCCCAAGGTCTGGTTCTTTGACAAGTTCCTGTTAACTCTCCATGTTCAAATGTTCAGCATTAGGATTGTTTCTTTTTTGAAATTGTAATATAATTTTTGGTGGCCTGTTGTTTTACGTTGTACACATTTATGCTGGAGTCCCGAGTTCCAATCAGTCGCAGGTAGAACTGTAAATAATGACATCTCCTTACCAAAACTTACACATACTATAATTTATTATGTTATTTAATTCACTGGATAAATCCCATATTTTTCTATAAGTTCTGATGGTTCTGTGGAAAATTCCAATGATTAGAAATTTAATTGTTGTTTGAAAGTTTGGAAAGTTACTCCAAGGAAACATTCCTCCATGGTGGTTCTAAATAAGCTGACTTTGTATAAAAAAGAATACCTCTTGGGGGGGCCGAAAGCCCTACTAAGCAGGTATATACAAAAGTATGAAGGCTATTGCTTAACGCATTGTAAGCTGCCCTGAGTCTTTGGAGAAGGGCAGCATATAAATTGAACCAATAAATAAATTGAACCAATAAACACATCATTTTTTTGTACAAAATTTGAGATGAAAATTGATGCAAACAGATCATTCAAAAATTCCATTGAGTTTATGGGGAAAGTTCAAATGTAGTAAAAATAACTGCTTCAAGAATATATTAATGTACTAAATTAGAAATATTCCTCTGTTAATAATTTTAACATTTTCTAGCAGATTGATATGATATTAAGAATTTTTAATTGAAAGAATATTGTTAGATTTTCTTTATCCAATCTGTAGTTATATGATTGGAGTGTTGGTATTTTTGATCTTTGTCTTTATCATTCATAATATATTTGGGCTTTGCTTATATTTTAGTACAGCTCTGTTACATTTCCTGCTTTAAACATTTGGAAGATGTTTTAACAGAAGTATAATTTTGGCCCTCATGGCTTATATCAAGATCCTTAGAAGACATTCCTACTTTAGGATGCAGAAACATTTATTTATGTTACTTTTATGATGGTTTATTGGGCAAGTTAAGTGGCTTACAAACACAGTAAAACATATAACATACAGCTCAGTCCAATTAATAAAATCATACACAATCAGTCCATAAAATAATGGACAAACAGTTACAAGTAGTTTTGATCATAAAACTGGCGAGTATATCTTTTTTTCATTTGAAAGTTATGTACAATTTATTCTACATCAGTTTATCGAGAAAAGAAGGACTAGGGAGGACATGATAGCAGCATTCCAGTATTTGAGGGGCTGCCACAAAGAGAAGGGGGTCAATTTATTTTCCAAAGCACCGGAAGGCAAGGCAAGAAACAATGGATGGAAACTAATCCAAGAGAGAAGCAACCTGGAATTAAGGAGAAACTTCCTAATAGTGAAGACAATTAACCGGTGGAACCGCTTGCTACCAGAAATTGTGGGTGCTTTTCATCACTTAGAGGTTTTTAAGAAGAGACTGGACAGCTGTTTGTCTGAAATGGTATAGTGTCTCTTGCTTGAACAGGGGATTGGACTAGAAGACCTCTAAGGTCCCTTCCAGCTCTATTCTGATTAATTGATCCTTGTAAATAATGTCTGGATGCTGAAACAAAGGTTTGGACCTCCATCTTCGTAGTAGCTAAAAGAGCTTTGGATCAGACCAATATTAGAAACCTTTTCTTTGTACAGATCTGTTCATTGTCGATGCAAGAATTTCTTTTCATTCTGAATAAGTGGTTTTAAAAGCCTGCAAATAATTAAAATGCCTTTTTCATAAACGTGAGTAAAAGCATTGTCTTATCTAAGGCCTGTATCTCTTTGTTGAGCAGATTAGTGGTGAAGCTCAAGAACTTTACTCTATCCGACACGGTCCTGTCCGAGCAGCCCGGGTTCTGCCATCCCCACAGATCCGTAAGTACAGAATCCTGTATATATCCATCTTCTTTCTTTTCTTTGGCCGTTATAACTTTGAAAATTCACTAAATCAACTGTTGTAATTCAAGGACATACAGATTTAAGAATAGAATAGAATAGAATAGAATAGAATAGAATAGAATAGAATAGAATAGAATAGAATAGAATTTTTATTGGCCAAGTGTGATTGGACACACAAGGAATTTGTCTTGGTGCACACGCTCTCAGTGTACATAAAAGAAAAGATATGTTCATCAAGAATCATAAGGTACAACACTTAATGATAGTCATAGGGAACAAATAAGCAATCATATCATACAAGGAAACAGTCAATATAAATCATAAGGATACCAGCAACAAGATTACAGTCAGGCAGTCATAAGTGGGAGGGTATGGGTGATAAGGAACGATAAGAAGACTAATAGTAATAGTAATGCAGACTTTGTAAATAGTTTGATAGTGTTGAGGGAATTATTTGTTTAGCAGAGTGATGGCGTTCGGGAAAAAACTGTCCTTGTGTCTAGTTGTTCTGGTGTGCAGTGCTCCATAGCCTCCTTTTGAGGGTAGGAGTTGAAACAGTTTATATCCAGGATGTGAGGGGTCTGTAGATATTTTCCCAGCCCTCTTTTTGACTCGTGCAGTAGACGGGTCCTCAATGGAAGGCAGGTTGGTAGCCATGTTTTTTTCTGCAGTTCTAATTATCCTCTGAAGTCTGTGTCTGTCTTGTTGGGTTGCAGATTTTTTTTATTTTATTTTTTTTTATTTTATTTTTTATTTTATTTTTTTTATTTTTTTATATATATATATTTATTTTATTTTATTTTATTTTATTTTATTTTATTTTATTTTATTTTATTTTATTTTATTTTATTTTATTTTATTTTATTTTATTTTATTTTATTTTATTTTATTTTATTTTATATATTGCCGTCTACTTGCACATGGCGACTCAAGGAGGCTTACACAGACATAATTCCATTTAATTCAGTTGCCTCACAACTTATTCCTTTTTTTTCCCCAACATAAAATATTTTTGTTTCTCTGCACGTTGCTGGATGGAAAATAAAATCTTTGACGAAAAGTAACCCGAAGCATTACGGAGCAGGATCTGGAATTGGATGAAAGCGAAGCTTGTAACGTGAGGCCTCAGATAGCATGAACCTGGTTTAGGAGGAGAACAAAAAGGGGGCTTGTAAGGAAGACGTTGATAGCCATCAGTGGTGCTGAAACACCCTTTTGCTGGGAAGCTGTTAGAAGGATGGCTGGCCGGTGGGCAGACTTGGCGTGTCCCCCAAAGAGATGATAACCTGAGACAAGCAACTCATTCCCAGGTGTGGAAAAAAAAAAGAAACATTTAGCTCAGTGGTCATTTCAGCATCATAGCTTAGTCTTTGTCAGCCATGTCTCTAGAGCAGGGGTGTCAAACTCAAGGCTTGCAGGCCTGCAATGTGGTCGGATTCGGCCCACAGGGCCGTCCTGGTCTACCCAATGCAAAGAAGAGCCTTGGTGGCACAGCAGACTAAAGTGCTGTTACGTAGCACCAGCTGCCTGCAATTACTTCAAGTTCGAATCTCACCAGGCTCAAAGTTGACTCAGCCTTCCATCCTTCCGAGGTAGGTAAAATGAGGACCCGGATTGTGGGGGCAATAAGCTGACTTATACAAAACACTGCTTAGCGGGGGCCGAAAGCCCTACTAAGCAGGTATATACAAAAGTATGAAGGCTGTTGCTTAATGCATTGTAAGCCCTGAGTCTCCGGAGAAGGGTGGCATATAAATTGAACCAAGAAAGGAAGGAAGGAAGGAAGGAAGGAAGGAAGGAAGGAAGGAAAGAAAGAAAGAAAGAAAGAAAGAAAGAAAGAAAGAAAGAAAGAAAGAAAGAAAGAAAGAAAGAAAGAAAGAAAGAAAGAAAGAAAGAAAGAAAAAGAAAGAAAGAAAGAAAGAAAGAAAGATCAGGCCAGCGTAGCTTTGGCCCGGTCTACCCAATGCGAAGAGGAAACATGCCAGCAGTTTGGGGAGTGGCATCAAGCTGATCACGCCCACCCAGTTGGCCACACCCAGTTGGCCCCGCCCCCCGTTCCCTGAGGTCAACCATAGCCCTGATGCGGCCCTCAATGAAATTGAGTTTGACACTCCTGCTCTAGAGAATCTTATCCTCTGATACCCGTTTTTCTTCATTGTGTTGCACTTTAAAAGCATAGAGCACCTCTGCTAGGGAAGATTATTTGGGGTTTTGCTTTGGGAAAGAGGTATTTACCCTGTTTCCCCGAAAATAAGACCTTTCCTTATAATAAGCCCAATCGGGCTTTTGAGCGCATGCACTAAAATACACCCCCCCCCAAAAAATAAGCCCTTCCAAAAATATTTAAATACACGCACAGCCGTTCCCCGCCACTTCCTCTGGTTAGGGTTAGGGAGACAGAGCTGGAAATCAGGTAAGATGGCAAGAGGAGCCCCGTCTTGTTCCACGCGCCCCAAAATAATAAGACCACCTTGAAAAAACAAGAGCCGAGGTGGCGCAGTGGTTAGAGTGCAGTACTGCAGCTACTTCAGCTGACTGCTAGTTCAGCAGATCAGCGGATCAAATCTCACCGGCTCAAGGTTGACTCAGCCTTCCATCCTTCCGAGGTGGGTAAAATGAGGACCCAGATTGTTGGGGGCAATATGCTATTTAGTATACTGTCTTTGGGGTAAGCCGCCCAGAGTTCTCGGAGAGTGAGCGGCATAAAAATACGAATAATAAAATAAAATAAATAAATAAAATAAGGACAAGCGCTTATTTCGAGGTTCAAAAAAATATAAGACAGGGTCATATTTTCAGGGAAACACGGTACATAGTAGTGGGGTCAGACAAGATCTATACCAGGCATGTCCAGCTGTGACTTGTGGTCCTGGACAGCCAGTGTAAGTAGTCTTCAACTTACAATTGTCTGCTTACTGACTGTTCAAAGTTACAATGGCGCTGAAAAAAGCGACTTACGGCTGTTTTTCATACTTAATGACCATTGTAGCATCCCCATGGTCACATGATCAAAATCGGACGCTTGGCAACCAGTTCATATTTACGACGGTTTCAACGACCTGGGATCATGTGATCCTTTTTTTTGGTGATCTTCTGACAAGCAAAAGTCAGCGGGGAAACCAGATTCACTTAACCACCGTGTTACTAACATAAGAGCTGCAGGGATTCACTTAACAGCTGTGGCAAGGAAGGGCGTAATATGGGGCAAAACTCACTTACCAACTGTCTCGCTTAGCAACAGAAATTTTGGCCTCAGTTGTGGTCGTAAGTCGAGGACTACCTGTAATGCAGCCCCCACAAGAGATCATCAGCCTCTAACATTATTATGTGGTTTTCATGCATTAACTATATTATATATTTTATAAGACAATTCCTCTTCACTCATTCCAGCCCAGGCAAGCCGCAAGATCGGACACCCGTGATTTATACCAATTATATCTGTTTGTGTGTAGTGTACACGGACGCTTGTTTTTGCTTAGAAGTGAAGTGAGAGAAAAAGCCTCTTGAGACTTGGGGGTTTCCAGAGAGTCTCGGAAATCTGAATTGTAGACGATGCTAGGAAATGTTGGGTTTCTTATGCAAACTTACTGAGTTCATTAGAGCAGAAGTCCTCATGGTTAAAAGTTGTCGCGCTTTTTATTTTTCCTTCCTTGAACAGGGAAAACAAGAAAAGTAGGGTAACATTGCGAGGCATTTGTGCGGATGAGAATGTTGCCTGATTTTCCTTATTAAATTTCTGTAAATGAGGTTAGCAGTTTACTTGATCAGTCTTTTATTGTTTTGTTTTGTTTATTTGTATCCCACCTTTATCTACATATCCGAGATACCTCCCTCCTCCTGTTTTCTTCACAACAACAACCCGGTGAGGAGGGTTGGGCCGAGAGAAAATGACTGGCACAAAATCACCCAGCCGGCTTTCATGCCTAAGGTGGAACTAGAACTCATCATCTCCTAATGATTGGCCCAAAGTCACCCAGCTGGCTTTCATGCCTAAGGTGGAACTAGAACTCATCATCTCCTAATGATTGGCCCAAAGTCACCCAGCTGGCTTTCATGCCTAAGGTGGAACTAGAACTCATCATCTCCTAATGATTGGCCCAAAGTCACCCAGCTGGCTTTCGTGGCTAAGGCGGGACTAGAACTCACCATCTCCTAATGATTGGTCCAAAGTCACCCAGCCACTTTCATGCCTAAGGCGGGACTATTTATTTATTTATTTATTTATTAGATTTTTATACCGCCCCCTCTCCCGAAGGACTCGGGGCGGTGCACAGCCAAAGTTAAAAAACATACAATATAAACAATTAAAATACGTTTAAAACAGAATTAAATCTAAGATGGCTCCCCAATTTAAAATGCCTTACCCATACCCCTATAAAAAGACGAATTTAAAATTTAAAAATTTAAAATTTCCACATTTAAAAAGGGGGAAGATTTAGGCCAGGCCAGCTTGATAAAATAGAAAAGTCTTAAGTGCGCGGCGGAAGGTGCGCAGATCCGGGATCCTACGTATCTCCGGGGGGAGCTCGTTCCAAATCGTAGGTGCCCCCACAGAGAAGGCTCTCCCCCTAGGGGCCGACAGCCGACATTGTTTGGCCGACGGCACCCGGAGGAGCCCCTCTCTATGGGAGCGTACTGGCCGGTGGGAGGCTATTGGTGGTAGCAGGCGGTCCCGTAAATAACCAGGTCCTAAGCCATGGAGCGCTTTAAAGGTGATAACCAGAACCTTGAAGCGCACTCGGAAGACCACCGGGAGCCAGTGCAGCTCGCGCAGGAGAGGTGTCACATGGGAACTCCATGTCGCTCCCATCACCACCCGCGCGGCCGCACTCTGCGCCAGTTGGAGCCTCCGAGTGCACCTCAAGGGGAGCCCCATGTAGAGAGTGTTGCAGTAATCCAGACGAGAAGTAACGAGGGCATGAGTGACTGTGTGTAGGGAGTCCCGATCTAGATAGGGACGCAACTGGCGGATCAGG